ATCCTGCCATTACGTCGTCTTCTATTTGGTTTCATTATGACGCACCACAAAGTACACCTGGGCTTATTCACTATGTTGAGGCCGTTGCTGCACTTTCGCGCACGAAGCAGAACATGCAAACAACTGTACAAACTAGTGAAACCAGATTTAAAGTGCATTGCTCATCCTCTATGCTTCGAGCGTCGAGCGGTGAAACATTGGAAAACATGACTGAGACCAAAGTGGAGAGGAAATCGGTGTCGGAATTTAAACCTATTCCTTAACGTCCACTTTGCCAACTACAGGCATAGGGAGCGTATGTCACCCGGATAACATGTAGTGCAGCTGCAGTATGACGTCATCGCGCAGGAATCAGCGAGGTGATCCCGTGCATGCGCCCGTACCACCTACGGTGGAGCAACACACATTTTTATCTTCTTTCTCTCTAACCTCAGTATTCAGCATTCAGGACAGCTAGCGATAATATGGCCAGGCTCCATAAGAATGGTTGGTTATTCATCCTCACGTATTTGCATATTGCGGGTATTCACATTGTTGCGGTCTCACTGCTCATCTTACTATTTGAAGTTGCTGTTGTATAAACAACCATGAGCTGTACTGCAAAGCTGTATGGCCGCTATACTCCGAATAATTACGGCGTACATTCTGGCTTATATGCCTCACCAGTCATCAACCCTGTGCTTATGCTGGACAATGTTAATTGTTATTAAACCAGGACCAAGGCACGAATAACAGCATAAGGTAGGAAGAGCATGTTTGTGAAAAATGGGAGGTAGTTTGACTACCTATCACTGAGCCTGAGGTTAACAGGCGTAAGATGGGTAATGGAGCCAGGTAAAAGAGAATTTCATGGAAATAGCCAAGGTAGAATGTGGTGGCGGTCGAAAGTCCTGGAAGTCCGGCTATCCCGAATGACAGGGACCAGTCTGATACACTGTTAAGTTTCAGGCCAGCTTCAAAAGAATATGAAAGATTGTAGAGCAAGATGATGATAGTGTCCGAAACATGATCTGGCTTTTCATTCTGCCAATCAATCATTGTTATCAGATGGCGAGCGTTCAAGTCTGATAAAAGTTAAGTGATGATGACGGTCAAGGTGAGATGAAGTAAAATGACAAAGTCTTGGTCAGATTTGCGATTTCGTCAAAGCAATAGTTAAGCAGCTAGCTGTAATGTTATGATATGGAGTTCCGAGGTAAATTTTTCAAAACCTAGACAAGACAGAAAAATGAAACTCAGATGACAAGTAACCAGCGCAGGACGGTTAGGAGTGTCAGTGCCGAAACGTTATAAAATTAAGCAACTCGGTAACCCAAGTGGGGCAAATAGTGCATTGAACCTCGAAAAAATAAAAAATGAAAAAAGGAAGATAAGCAGGTTCAGGACGTTTATAAGGAGAGACCTAAGCCGAGCAGAATTATGAATGCGGTAGATGTGCGGCTCGACAAGTAAGTCCTATAGGATCATTCTCATAAATAACTTTAAGTGACGTAGGTCCGCCCATTATACGTACTACCACCATTAACTTTAGGTAACTGAACACTTGCGCACGAAATACATGCTTAGTGTTGTTGCATCTAATGAATTCGCTTTACCTATTGCTTGACGCTGCGTATTTTATGCGACAAAATTTGGAGCATAACCTTGTGCACTCTCAGGCCGGACATGGAATGACCTGCTACACGGAGATTGTGTGCAGTAATTGGTTAAAGTAAGCAAGGATCTTTGTGATCCATTTGTACAATTCGATCGGAGCAACTGCTAGGACCGTGTCTCCCTCATCGCGAGATAACTACATAGCGATTCGCTCAAGTCGGCTACAAACATCACATAAATTTCACGGATGGATCAAGTTCATTCTCGATTTGCGACTTGAGAGTCCCAAACAACTGTGTACGACGTACACATTGTCCAATTCAACCCTCTGTTTAATTGTTTATCATTCATCGTTATACGGTATGAGTTACACTCTGTGTGAAGAACACTTTCGTAAAACACGCTAAGTTTTATTTGGATGCCATAATGTTTTTATTAATCATCGCACCTGTTCACCAATCATCTCTAATTTGTTTGCTTAATCATCTCACACACTTCTGCTGGTACACCCACAATATACAAACCGTTACACGTCTGGCGCTATCACTTCTGGAAACAACATCCACGGGGTCCACGTTAAGTCGGCTTTTGTTGTATAGGGCTTCATTATTCATATGTTACATTTACGCCGATTAACCGCTTTGCGGACCAAATCATCGCGCATATTTTCCGAATAGTTTATCGAGGCACAGACAACTACACAACTGGAGCAAGAACCAGTGTGAAACTGAAAAATTTGACTAACACTAAGGTACACTACAAACTGGAATCCAATGCTTCCGCATTGTATTATTTCAAGCCTCGCTATGGTTGCCTCGATCCAGAGCAAGAATCGGGAGTTGATGGTAAGCTGATTATATATAACATTTGCTTGCAGTATTCTTATTGCCTTTTGATATTGGTTATCCGGCAATCCGCAAACATGAGCTAATCGTTCAAAGCATGCTAGCGGAGAATGAGAAAGAAAAGGATTTACCTCAACTGGTAGGATGACGAATTGCGATTACCACATTTGCCGCCACTCTCTATTCCTAGTTTGAACACACCAATCAAGCACAAATAGTGACAAACAGAGTACTATGCATCCCTTACAGATATGGGGAACTGGTTATAGAACCGAACCAAGAGCTCCTGTTTGAAGGTATTCATTTACTCTGGGCCATATCTACTTTTCAGCTTCATTAGCTTTACCGTTTTCTTCCAACATCTCTCTGCACAACCCTAATAGTTTTTATTTGAATTTCAATGTACAAACATCGTCAACTAACTTGTCGGTTTTTCCATCCCAAGGTGCAGTAGACAAATATGACAGCGTGGATTTGATCGGTAAATTTATTTTATCGTCCGGTACAATAAACCTTCTTAAAAGTAATTCGGAAGCCACTAACTTTAACTGATACCAATGCCTACAACGACACAATCATAATAAGGGAATCCGAGCCCAGTTCTGAGTTTGGGGTAAGTGTGACTTAGAGATTCTTACGGTCAACATCACTCTTGTTCTTTCTGCAGCAGGACCATGGCCAGACCAAGGTCACCAAAATCAAATGTGTGTACAACACTCCGAAAACAACATCGTCCGTAAGTGCTTTGATTGTATCTTCTTTGGTTTCCGAGAAACAGGTATGTACAATAGTCACATGTTTGAGAGATTTGATTCTGATAGTTACAATGCCATTAGAGCCACCAGACGAACGTCATGTTTACACTCGCAAAATGGTGTATGCAATTTAACAGACACGGTTAACATAATGGTCATTATTATTAATTTGTATAATCACAGCCACGGTTCATTTAGCCTAATGACATTGTAGACTATGGTCACATTGAAGAATTCTTGCTTTCAGACTGAAAGAAACTCGTTGCTGACATAGAATCCAGTGATATTTGCGCAGTAGGTAGTCTGTACATTTGCTGATACTGTGCATACAGGTTGTGTTCATTGTGACGTCAATTCATTTCATTTCCGATTACAGACCGGTGATTGCCAACGATCAATA